CATCTTTCATATAACTCCCTACTAATAACTTCCCACATAACTTCCATGTAAAATTAATATTAAATAAAAATATATCATTTATATTTATATGTGTGCAATAAAAAAGTGGACAGACGGGCACGCGAGTGCCCGTCTGGACGCTAGTATCCTTAAAGCAGATAATAAAGTAAATGGTTTAAGAATAAACAAAAGGTTCTTGTAGAGTACTACAGAAGTTTAGGGTGCTAATACCTTCCCTAAGCTTAACCAACCCCTTACCTAGGTCTCTCCCCGCATTGTGTTTACAATGCAAAAATAGGTTTTCCTTCTTTTGACCTTTTCCTTCAGATAAATCAAAGATCGGTTGTAAATTAAAAATTGTGATTCAAGCTAATTAATAGTTTGATATCCTATTTCCACCGCAACAACCATCAAGTCCTCACTCCTTCTCTTTGGAGCTACGACTTAGGGGGCTCCTGTTCTGGACTGGGCCCAGACTTGGTCAGGCAGGCCCAGCCTAACGATATAGAGGGAAGGCCCCAAACAGGCCCAAATTGCCAATGTCGAGCATAGAGGCTTCCGTCGACCAGACGCTGCCCTCACCGGGCAGACCACCTCCCCTGTCGGGCAGGACACCTCCTCCGTCGGGAAGATTAACGTGTCCTCCACACGTTCTCCACGTGCTCCCCTCCGCGGGAACACGTCATCATGCAACTACCCACCTCTGAAAGAGTTGGTCAACCCACCTTCCGAAGATCATGGGACGGTTGGACTAGGGCAAAGACCAGGTGCTGGTCTTCACTACGTCACGTAAGCCTTAGTAGTCACTTGGGTTGGGCCTTGCCATCTAGCCCAACTCAAATGATCGTTGGCCCTGCGCTGGTGTCTCACTATAAATACCCTCTTTTACTAGAGGGTCAGATATTCAATTCTCTACACCTTCTTTCTGTATTTTCTTCACTCTGGTCCTTTCTCACTTTGGGATCAGAGTGTCTTGCAGGTACACCCCCTACTCCTTCATACTTCCGGTGAACAGGCAACAGATAAACGATGGGTGGCAGATCATCGATTTCCTTCTGATCAGGTCAGATCAAATAGTATTATGACTTTTATGCTAATATTGATTTGGTTTTTCTAATATAACAATATTAAGATGTTTTATGTTAATATTGATTTGGTTTTTCTAGTATAACGGTATTATGCATAGAGTATCTTATAGACAGATTAAACCAACATTTATACATAAATCTTGGTTTAAAATTGAAGGCATCACAACCCAAAGTGTTTTGATGTAGGTATCTCAAGTTCTTTCTCGGACAGCTACCTTAGAACTCTTATAGTATGCCTAGAGGAAATTGTTTCTCAATAAATTTTTTGGACGTTTTCTCAATAAAGTTGTTATTTGTGATTGATTATATATTTTCATGTTCAATTCTATTGACAATGCAAACCGTCTTTGTTTCTATGGTCCAAAATTAGAATTACTTTTATCCTTTCTAACATCATTATGTCTATTGGTATAATATTTCGTGATTTAATTTTGTATTTTTTAAAAAATAATAATTTATTGATAAAGAAATTTCTGAAAAATTCATTTAAATGTTGGGAAAGAGAGATAGAGAGAGGGCGGGATTAAAAGGGAGAGCAAGAGAGAAAGTTTTTTACTATTTATAAACCACATAAAATAATTGAATTTGGAAAACTGATTTTTTTTTTTTAACTATTTAACGAGGGACATCTAAATAATATCCTATGATAATGATAGAAATTATTTAAAATTGCATCATGCTTTGACTATAATTTTTTTATTTGTTCGTTTTTTTTAAATATAAACATTATTTGGTTTATTTTTAATTTAAATTATTTTATGAGAGAGAGAGAATATATCAGACTTTATTAATTTAAGTTGATACATAATTTAATTTAAAACAAAAGTTAACAAAAATGATATAGTAAAATTTCTTGCGTGTGAAGATTCAAAAAAGCAGGTTAACAAACATGAGAGTGAATATTATAAACTTTATTGCAAACATAATTTAAATTAAATTCAAAATTAAATAAAAATTCACCAACTTATATTTTGATGCGTATATATATTGAAAAGAACAGACAAACCGTGCTCGTTTAAACGCTAGTAAGATATAAAGAAAAAAAGTAAAAAAAATTATAATCAAAGCTTCCATGTTTACGCTAGTAAGATATAAAGAAAAAAAGTAAAAAAAATTATAATCAAAGCTTCCATGTTTATAGCAAACAAAACTAGTAAAAAAAAATCAATAAAAACATTCATCGATCCTACTTAAAATATGGCGCAATCGATATAGGAGGCGCCATATTCTTGAAGTAAGATTTGTAAGGACAATGAAGACCAAATCTATTTCAAAGCATAACTTTAAAATGAACTAATCATGACTTGCATAACTCTGAACATGGACTTGGATTAATTTGTATCATAACTTGAAGAAAAACAACTTAAGTATGATCGTGATACAACTTGCACTACAACATTTTTACTCTATAGCAACGCCTAATTTTCAGGAAGTAAAAAAATTGTTCTCATAGAGAGTAATAGACAACTAATTATATAATTTGTTGCGGTAGCTTATATAATTTTTTGTAAATTTTATACAACGGTGCAAAACCTTTCTTGTAGAGGACAATGAGAACGACTCCTATTAGCAACGGTTAGACCCGTTCTAATATAATTTTTAATTATTTTAATAAAATATTATCTACTAACATCGTTCTCATATGTATTACCTATCTAATTTTTTTGATAAAAATTGTCTCTAGCGGGAAACATAAGTAATTTTTTTTCCACATAGCTACTTAATTTTCACTTTTGCCTCGCTGAATTTTCATTGTCCCTCCCAAACCTGAAGCGTAGAATTTTCAATGTTCCCTCCCAAATTGGTTCTAACACACGGAGAGAGAAGAAACATTCATTCCAAATTCGATATCGATTTTGTAACCCTAACATTTTGTTCTTCATCCCATATGTAACCCTAATCCTTTCTTCATCGTACGAGTTTCTCCCAAACCCAACCCTATTCAACACAAAAGCTTCTCCTTCTTCTTCGTTGTAGGTTTCTTCATCCTATCAAGAGTTTTCTTCGTTGTAGGTCTGCGCCCTATCAAGAGTTTCCTTCAACTAAAGACTCTCATTCAACTTGTGTGTGTGTAAATGTTTTCCTTCAACTTTCTCTATTCTCTGCCGACAAATCTAACGTTTTTGTTTTCATAGGTCTCAATTTTCAAATGTAATAGTGCACGAGTTTTCAGCGGTGTGCGAGTTTTCAGTTCATCCTGGTAAAAAGGTAATATTTTATTCTAAACAGAACTCAAAATTGTTTCTTAGAAAGTTTTACGCCTGGTGATTAGTATAATAGTCATACTAAAATATTTATGAAGTTTTTAAAAATTTTACTATCAAGTTTAAACATGATTCTGTGAACTTTAGGACTAAATGTATGTTTACAAAAATATTTTGAATCATGTTTTTAATTTCAAGTTAATTTGCTTGTCTTTCGTTATATTTAGATGAGTTTATTAAGAACTAATTAAGTAACAACTTTACTATTATCATTTTTAATGTGCCAACTTTAATATGTTGTGTTAGACACGGGCATTTGGAACCTTTAGACCATCTCCAACCGTGAACTCATTTTTGGGTTCTTTATGGGACCTATTAAGCCACGTCAGCTTGAAGCAACTCAACTAATTTTTCACTCCAATGGTGCAACTCTGAAGAACTCATATTGAGTCCCACAACTTTACTTTATATATTAATATTTTATTCATATTAAATTTTATATTAAATAAATAAATAAAATAAATAAAAATTGATATAAAATAAAATAAATAAAATTCAAATTAAACTTATAATTTAAAATGATAATTAAAATATAGTTTTTGATCTGACCTGATCAGAAGGGGATCACGGGCCGGCCACACTCTGTTGGACTGCTACGTGCTCACCGGTGCTGAGGAAAAAAAAGGGGGGGTGTACCTGCAAAACACTCCGATGCCAAAGTGAGGAGTTGGGCAGAGCGATGGCGAAGTACAGAAAGAGGGGTAAGAAGTGTGTTACCTGACTCTCTTGAGGAAGAGGGTATTTATAGAGAGACCCCAGCGCTGGGCCAACGGTCATTTGAGATGGGTTGGATGACCAGACCCAACCCTAATGACTGCTAGGGCTTACGTGGCGTAATGAAGACCAGGACGTGGTCTTCGCCCTAGTCCAACCGCTCCTAGATCTCCAGAAAGTGGGTTTGACCTGCTCTTTCGAAGGTGGGCAGTTGGTTGATGACGTGTCCCCGCGGAGGGGAGCACGTGGAGAACGCACGTCGGGCACGTTGTCCTCCCCGCGGTGGGGAGCTCGCGAGGTTTCCCGGAGGGCGTTGTTCTCCCCGCGGAGGGGAGTGCGAGGATGGGGAGGAACCAAAGGCCTCGCTTCGATGCGCCAGGGTGCGTCCTGTTCGGCCGATTAGAGGGGACGTCGAGATGCTGTCGGACGCGTCGCCTGTGGCCGGTGGTGCGCTCTGCCCGTCTGGCAGGACGCGCGTGCCCGGCACGGCCAGTTCACTTATTGGGCCGTGCGTGTTATTGGGATGGACTGAGGTCAGGCCCAGACCAGAACAGTTTTCATATTATAAAATCAATATTTTAATATTATAAATATAGTTTTCATATGATAAATAAAATTTTATATTAAATTATAGTTTTTATATTATAAAATCAATATTTTAATATAAGAACCGTTGAAGAACGTTGCATAATTAAGAACGGTTAAACATCATGATAATGTTGGAAGCAACAAATATGAGTGCCATGTTGGCAAACCCACTTTAAAAACTCCCATTGGAGTTGGTCTTAGCTTGGGTTTTGAAATTATCATAATAACTCCATCAAGCTTATTAGTTTAACACTTATTTTTTTAGAGAGAAGTATCAGAACAATACAATATCATTGAGCATTACTTGCAGCAGTAGATAGAGAAGCTAATATCATTATCCTCCAAAATGTGTTTCTGCATTTGTTCAATTGATGTTGGAATAGTCGTTGAACTCATTGTGATGTATCTGATTCAGCATCGCAAGTATAGAGACGGAATTGATAATCTTTTGGTGCTTTTGATCGGAGGAATCCCGATTGCAATGCCAACTGTTTTGTCTGTTACTATGGCTATTGGTTCTCATAAGCTTTCACAACAAGGTGCAATTACAAAGAGAATGACTGCTATTGAAGAAATGGCAGGAATGGATGTTTTTTGCAGTGATAAAACTGGAACTCTCACTTTGAATAAACTTAGTGTTGATAGAAACTTAATTGAAGTGTTTTCTAGGGGAATGGATAAGGATTTGGTGATACTCTTAGCAGCAAGAGCTTCTAGGATAGAAAATCAGGATGCTATAGATGTTGCTATTGTTGGAATGTTGTCTGATCCACAAGAGGTAAATATCTAAAATCAAAATCTAAATAAATCCCTTTTTTAGAGTAAATCAGCATTTTAGTCATAGAAATTGTAATGGTTGTGATTGATTGTTCAGGCTAGAGCTGGTATCAATGAGGTCCATTTTCTGCCATTCAATCCCGTTGATAAGAGGACTGCCCTTACCTATTTTGATACCTAAGGAAATTGGCGTAGAGCAAGCAAGGGGGCTCCTGAGCAGGTAAATACGAGTTTCATTTTATGATGTTTCATTTTATTTTTGTAAGTAGGAATTGAATTCGGTATCTTAGGATTTACAACATTCGCGCAACCTGATCATCATCAACCTGCACTAGGCCTTAGTGGTATCTTTGTTATGATTTATAAGATGAAGACTAACCAAGTCATGTTTTTATATTGTGTTAGATATTGGATCTTTGCAACTGAAAAGAAAACGTGAGGTGAAGCGTTCATGCAATGATAGACAAGTTTGCCGAGCGTGGACTTCGATCATTAGGTGTTGCTTATCAGGTAAGTAAAGACAACATCATTATCATATATGTTTATTTTTCTACTTGAATTAATTCTCTTGTTTTATCATTCTTTTTATCATATGATTTGTGCAATAGGAAGTACCTGAAAAAACAAAAGAGAGTCCTGGTGCACCATGGCAATTTGTTGGTTTGTTGCCACTATTTGATCCTCCTAGACATGATAGTGCTGTCACAATTCGACAGGCTCTTAATCTTGGTGTGAATGTTAATATGATCACAGGTAAGATTCAAGGACATACTTTCTTGTTTTCGTAGTTCTAAATTCTGATATGTAACTGCAACTGCGGCTACAATATAAAGGTTTTGAGGTCTCCACAGCCCCAATTGCAGAAGCATTTCACAGAGTAGCCGTAAATGTGACATGACTTACAATTTAGAATCATATGCAACTCATACCATAAATCAATGTTTGTAGCTTTAAATTAATTGTAGATTATGTTTTTCTCTAGGGGACCAGCTTGCTATTGGAAAGGAAACTGGTAGAAGGCTTGGAATGGGAACAAACATGTATCCATCATCTGCATTGCTTGGTCATGACAAAGATGCTTCTACTTCGGATATTCCTATTGACAAGTTGATTGAAAAGGCCGATGGATTTGCAGGAGTGTTTCCAGGTATGTCCTTGTTTACATTGATTTTTGGTTTTGTCAAAAGTTTTAACTGTCGAATTGCTCCATCCTTTTGATAGATTCTCTATCAAAATAAGAAAGTTAACCTTAAAAGTCATTTACATATTTATCATGATATGATATGTTAGAACACAAATATGAAATCGTCAAGAGGCTGCAAGATATAAAGCATATATGCGGAATGACAGGAGATGGCATAAACGATGCTCCTGCGTTAAAGAGAGCCGATATCGGAATTGCTGTCGTTGATGCTACAGATGCCGCTAGAAGTGCTTTTGATATTGTCCTTACTGAACCTGGTTGGAGTGTCATTATCAGTGTTGTGCTCACCAGCAGGGCCATTTTCCAAAGAATGAAAAATTATACTGTTAGTTTCCTTTTCATATCTAATTCTTGTGCTACAGAATACCTGAGTAACATTTTTAGTTTTCTAATCTCAAAATGTTTGATTATGGAACAGATTTATGTTGTGTCAATCGCCACCCGTATTGTGGTATGTGTTGAATTTAGCGACTTTTTTCTATGTACTTACCCTTTAAATCGTAAATATACTTAATAACCGTTGATTTTTCATCTTGACAGTTCGGTTTCATGTTGATTGCTTTGATTTAGAAATTTGATTTTGCACCTTTCATGGTTTTGATCATTGCAATACTGAATGATGGTAAGAGTAAGATAGTATTTTCCAACGTAATCTGGTTTGAACATGTACTTTGATCACACGTTGGTTATGATATGCGATCCTTGAAACTTGTCTCACATATGCCTTAAAATCACCACTTCATTTTGTACCAATTCAAACTTGGATTGAACAAGTCCAAACATGACCTCAATGTCATCTTGAAACATAACTTGAGCTCATCTTAAAACATGACCTAAAATCACTAGAAATCAATTGAAGTGAACCAATCGCATAGTTTGGGCGATTAATCTCTTCTTGAAGACTGGTCATAGGATTGAGGGCACTTCCTGAAACCAGTATTTTAGCAAGATCTCACACTCCCAATATATGCATACAAAATTTAGGTGATCATGGCTTGATAAATGAAATTTTTAAAAGATAGGATAAGTTTTAGATATGACAAAAATACAATGGTGTGAGAAGGAAAATTTGCTCACGTAGTGGTTATAAGAGATTTTGTCAGTTTCTCTTTGAAATTTGTGTATATCTCCTCAATTTTTGGATTGAGCCATTAATATGAAATCTCTAGGGTCTGAGCCAGAAAACCAGGAAGCAGCTCTCTCATTCCACGATAAAAAACATGGGGATAGTGGAAGACTCATTCTGTAACACCCCCTTTCCATACCCCCAAATAATCAATTAATCATTTAGGCACATATTAAAATTTTCATCTGAGTATAATCATAAACATGGTATAAAAGAGGTATGTCACATTATACGTGAAATTAAAACATCCAATACCTGCTCAACAATTGATATGCAACAGTGGGGTAACTTGCAACGAAGGAACTGAGTCCTTACACCCACATCTCAATATTTAGAATAAAAGCGGAAAAATCTAAACATTGAATAACATCCATCATATAAACATATGTGTACATTGTCCAGTTTGATTCAACAACATTCAACATGTTTTCATAAACATTCACCATCAAGATACATATACAACATATCACAAAAGAATTCTATACATCCTAGCTACCCGGTGCTACATATCAGAGCCAACCGACCAAAAGATGAAGACACGCTTCACAAAAAGAACTCCAGCCAACCTACTCTGCAATGCCTAATAGAGCATCATAAAACAGCAGAAGGGTGAGAAATATTATCATAATACCAATGTATATAATTATATGTTAACATAAAAATACACATATTCTCCATTCTCACCACATTCATTACCATAATACTCATATACATCACAATGCATAATACCAAGCGTATTCGTCATGCATGCTTCCACAATTCTCATCATTCCACATAAACATACACGTACATGTTTATTCACCAATTCACAATAATAATGATGATAAATGCAACTCATAGAGACCGACACACGACTTTATGCAGATGCAATGCGGTACCGACTCAATCATCTCAAGTTCACTCAGGAACTTATTGGAACTATCGCTCACACCTCACATAGGCACACGATGTTCACCCATTTCTCACACCCCACATGGGCACACAATGTTTATGGATTGCTCACACCCCACACGGGCACACAATCCAATTGCTCACACCCCACATGGGCACCCAATCGTTCAACAGATTCTCCTAGGAATCACACAGCACAAGAATGCACATCATGATGCTTCACATGCAAAATGACTCCAGGCATTCTTAAATGCATACATATTCACAAATATAATCATGCATTCATCTCATACCATCACACACACGATGTATAAACATTCACGTCAATCTCATCATGCATTTACGTTTAATTTAAACAATGCATTTAATTGCCAAAAGGCCACAATTCACAATAAATTCACAATCTAGGATTCACAACATACGGCTACCCACAGTATATCATATAACAACACATAAACCACTCATTCCGGGAAGAGGTCGATCGCAACTGAGCCAAAGAATCGATACAGGATGGAACAAAAGAAAAATGATGTGCTGTCACGCTCGTTGGGCTACTCGCCTAGCGAAGGCATAACGAACATTCGCTACTGGCTCGCCTAGCGAACATGCTAGCGAAGCCTGCCTTTTTGCTACTGGAAGTGTTCGCTACCTACTCGATACTGGTTCGCTTAGCGAACCACTCGCCACTTTCCTCGCTCGAGCGAACAAGGGTCATTTTGGTTCTGCCCAAGTCTGGGACCGTTCGCTAGCACCTCGCTGGATACTCGCCTAGCGAACCCCTCGCTACCCTGCTCGCCTAGCGAACATGCTAGCGAGCGTCTGCGTACTCAAAATCTCCAACTCTCTAAAAACATCAGAAGTTCACAAATCACCCAATTTTTTAACCAAACCAGCTCCAATAGTCTTAGCCCAACAATCCTCAACTAAACTACGCCATTTATTTTGGATTCTAACCGTTAAAACATCGGTTTCTATCGATTAAACCATTTTCGACCTAGAAATGGAAAATATGGAAAAACCACCCAAACAATCCAACCAACACATACATAATCATAAACATTGATAAGATAATAAGATTTCACACCCTTAACCGATTAAATCGAAAGCTAGAAGTTGTTCTTGATGATTTCCAAGTTTTCCTCTTTTTCCTCCTCTTTTCTCTTCTCCCTCTTTCTTTCTCTCCTTTTCTTCTTTTTATTCTTTTCTCTCCTCTTTCCTCTTATATTTTCTATTCTATTTCTTTCTACTATTTCTTCTCTCAAAATATCTACTAAATCATTTTCTCACAAAATCCCACACTTAATCTTAATTAAGAAATATCTAAAATACCCTCCAACTTACTTTCTCCGAAAACTCTCAAAGTCGATAAAATATCATAATATGCAAACATAACATATTAACACACCAATTCCACAAATAAAATAATAATCACCCAGATGAAATACAAGACTCAACAAAAATGAGAAATCAGAATCCGGACGTTACACATTCTTCCTTAAACCGTGAAAGAGACTACCAAACACCTATAGAACCATATGTGTTATATGTGTCAATCATAAGTCTCAGACTCAAACTCGATTGGACGACTGAAAATGCACTTTGGGTCACAACCAATTTTGACATTTTATCATGAATCATTCATTTTCTAGTCTAATAAGTATAATAAACAAATTAATGTTTATTACTCAACTCATAACTTATAAAATTTATATTATTTATTATCTAAAGCTGACTTTTTTTTTCTTTACATTATTGTCCTTCCATAACTATCAATATTATATTACTTTTATATATACACCCATTATTATTATTATTTAATATTAATCAAATCATTAAGTTATTTAAAAACAGAAGGATATAAACCACACCTTGAATGGTTATCAAATTATTAAATTTTTTTCTTCTTTCACCCTTATTGTTTTTCGGTATATCTTCTACTAAAAAAAGGATGATTCTTACAAATTAGCCTCTCAAAATTATGTTGATTTTGCCAGTATACTTAAATGGATGAATGTATTCATAAATCGGTCAAGGATTTTCTCTTCAAAAGTGGATGGAATCTTCAATAACTGAATTGGAGAAATATATTTATTTTTCTTTCGAACATTGCGCTTAAGTCAAGTGACTCATCAAAAAATGGATAACTTCTTAAAAAACCAACTGCCACATTATAGCTTCTATTTTTAAAAATTGATATGCCTTGCAATTGATTTATAAGTTTAGAACTGTTCCACTTTTTTAATAAAAAAATTAACATTTTCAAACTCAATTGCTTATTTATTTTATTTATTTTATTTATTTTAATGAAGGTTAAAACATTTAAATCAATTTTCATTTTTCAATTTGTTTCTCATTTTTCTCATAAATGTGATTCCGAATCATAAACTCATCTTCAATTCTATTAGTCAAATCTGCAGATATAACAAATGACGGCAACAACAACATTAATGGAACATGATTTTGGATAATAAAAAAAATGCAATTCTGAAAATCGGTTATTTCTTTCGTGTTTAGGGAAACCGTTTTAGGAAATCAACGACAACCACGTGTTTGAAGAAAATGGCAATAGATGTGATTCATGACTTTGGCGCATGTTGCAGCAATGCACAGCGCGCAGTGGCATGAGAATGTTTCAAATTGCAGTTAGCAGATTTCAAATTAGAAATCAAATCTTATGTTTTAAATCTGACACCTCAAATCTGAAGCCATTTCAAACTTGCATAAATTTTCTGCTTCCATCTAATATTATTAATGTTTCAAATTGCAATTTAGGTGAAGCACATTTAAATAATAAACCACATTTTTATGGTAATATTGATTTTGTTTTTCTGTTATAATAGCATCACTATGTTTTATGATATAATATTTCGTGATTTAATTTTGTATTTTTTAAATAATAATAATTTATTAATAAAGGAATTTCTGAAAAATTCATTTAAATGGGAGATAGAGAGAGGGAGGGATTAAAGGGACGGCAAGAGAGAAAGTTTTTTACTATTTATAAACCACATAAAATAATTGAATTTGAAAAACTGATTTTTTTTTTTAACTATTTAACAAGGGACATCTAAATAATATCCTATGATAATGATATAAATTATTTAAAATCGCACCATGCTTTGACTATTATTTTTTTATTTGTTCGTTTTTTCTAAATATAAACATTACTTTTTTGTTTAGTTTTAATTTTAATTTAAAATATTTTATGAGAAAGTATGTGATATATATATATATATATATATATATATATATATATATATATATATATATATATATATATATATATATATATATATATATATATATATATATATATATATATATATATATATATATATATATATATATATATATATATATATATATATATCATACTTTATTAATTTAAATTGATAAATAATTTAATTTAAAATAAAAGTTACCAAATGATATATTAAAATTTCTTGCGTGTAAAGATTAAAAAAAAAGTTTAACAAACATGAGAGTGAGTATTATAAAATTTATTACGAATATAATTTTAAAATTTTAAAATTAAATAAAAATACACCAACTTATATTTTGACGGGTATATATATTGAAAGAGTAGACAAACGGGCCTAATAAGATATAAAGATAAAAAATCAAAAAATTTCCTCATGCTTTTCAGCATGCTTATCGACTCACATGCTTTTCGGGAACTCATGCTATCGACTCACATGCTTTTCGAGAACTTCTCAGAAGGTTATCCATCCCTGCTCCAAGTCAAGAACGTTTAACTCTAGCGTTCTTTTGAACGGGCTATCGAAAAGAAGATTCATCTTGTTGGTATAGGTAGTACCAATTAATCCTTATAAGCCTTCATTCAACCATGCAGTCACATACCTGCACAGCCTCAGGATCTCTCTCATTTCTATGTGAACTATGTGAATTCGATTTTTCCTCAGAAGCTGCTAGGAGTATCTCATTGTGATGCCTTGTCGGTACTCTCTTCGGCCTCGGGTGTTATATTTATAACAAATAAAACTAATAAAAAAATCAATTAAAACATTTATGAATCCTACTTAAAACATGGCGCAATCCATATAGGAGGTGTCATATTCTTGAAGTAAAATTTTATCCTCATCCTCATTTATCTCGTCAAATCAGATTGGAAACTTTAGATTACTAATATAATATAGCAGATTGATAAATTCTTATTGAATGACAGTGTAAAATAGAAAAACTATTTTACACGGTCAGTGCATGCATATAAATTAACTCATATATATATATATATATATATATATATATATATATATATATATATATATATATATATATATATATATATATATATATATATATATATATATATATATATATATATATATATATATATATATATATATATATATATATATATATATATATATATATATATATATATATATATATATATATATATATATATATATATATATATAACAAAAGTTAACCAAAACGGTATATTAAAATTTCTTGCGCGTGAAGATCAAAAAAGGCAGGTTAACAAACTTGAAAGTGAATATTATAAAGTTTATTACAAGCAAAATTTAAATTAAATTCAAAATCAAATAAAAATACACCAGCTTATATTTTGAAGTGTATATATATTGAAAAGAGCATACAAAAAGAATGGGAGTGCCCGAGAGATATAAAGTATAAAAGTTAAAAATCTATAATCAAAGGCCTATAACAAACAAAACTAATAAAAAGTAAATCAAAACATTCATGAATTCCACTAAAAATAAGGCGCAATCCATATAGGAGGTGCCATATTCTTGAAGTAAGATTTGTAAGGACAATGAAGACCGAAACTTGCATGTTTAACATTATAGAATCCTAAATCAAAAGGACCTTGAGGATAAGAATTAGGCTCATCGTCAAAATAATTATCAGAGTAATAGATTGAATTTTTTTGTAGAGAATTTGAAAAATATGAAGCTGATATAGATGTTGAATCACCATCACCAAGAAATAAAACATTATCACCCAAACTCTCAAGTTTCAACAAGTGAATAAGGTTCTCACCTTTGTGGTCTAATTTCAATTTAAATACATGGAAATCTTTAGTACCTTTATTTGTACTATCTTCCTCTCTAGTTATAAACCTTCTTACCATCCACAACTCTCCCTCCAAAGATTTCACTAGATAAGTTAGAGGAGAATAAATTTCATCTTCACTTCTTTCTAAAACAACATTTGGATTTCTTCTTTCCCTACCATAAGGATCGTGAGGATCACTTGAATAACAAAGTTCAAAAGAGACAATTTTTTTCCAACGACTTACGGTGTAAACCAAACCCTTGTAGAATGTAAGATCAACGAAACCACAAGGGTGGTTTTCTTGTATGTATGTCCAAAACTCTTGTCCGACTTTAATAAAAGCTAAAGCACCACGGTTAGTATAAATGGCTGCAACAACATAATCATCTGGACTTGTTATAGGATCCGCGGACAAAGTAACCTTAGGAATGTTAAATTCGCAGTGTTTATATTTCATATAAATATCAATCCATGGTAAAATAATAGGAGCTACATCTTTAAACGGATTCACCTATGTTATGATGTTATCTGCATCCACTGTTGCAAGCCATCCATAACTTGAGCCACAACATCTCTTTTGATTAAGCGTTGTGAATTCAAAGGGATACACTCTATTTGCTACAACACTATACAAATTTTGCTTCTCTGTAGTCTTCTCTGAAGGAATCATTAGCATAGGCAGCATATTACTTCTAAATTGGATGTTGCCGTGATGGTTAAGCTTTGCAATTAAGTGCCAATTTTTGCAGATGGAACCGAACAAATGTGATGGAATGGTTCTTTTAACTTGTCAAGAATCAAATTGAGAGCGAGTGAATCTAAGTTTGCTCAATCTCTCTTCATTGCTACGCATCTACTGTTTTTATTCTTCATTCTGCAGTTGGCTAGGGTTCTAAGCTATCTTTTATTTATAGATGAAAGCTCGGTTATACACTTTCCGTCTTTCTTTCTTACAAAATTGCTATATTCCCTCTGAAAATATAAATCAGGTCAATATTTAGATTTTCTTAATTAAAGCTATTCAAATAATCATTATTTAAAATAAATGATGAAATTAAATGCGAATGTGGAGAAATGAATTTCGAAAATATTGTTTTAAAACCAAATCGAAAATGATGTTAAAATCGATGACAAGTAATGTTCTGTTCCATAAAAAAAGGTTTATAAAAGAAATTTGTTTTGAAATAATAGTTATAAATTGATTTTAAAAAATTAAAAAAATTGAATAGTTTTTAAAAACCAATTTTGATTTTTAAAACTCATCTAAATTAAACCCAACCGTTTATTTCTCATTTTTATTAGTATGATATATTTCAATAAGTTGATATCTAATTTTTTAAGTATAATTTATTAGATTAATTTATCTATTTATTTTTATTATTATATTTGTTTTAAATATAATCTAGCGTTAATATTTTATAAATTAAAATTTTAATATATTACATGTTGTATATTACTCAATTTTATTATTTCATAGTATTTTAAAAATATATACATAAAAATTATAATTTATAGTTTGTATATTTAAAAGTTGATTTTATACTTGTCAAAAAGTGAATGATATATAACACATTTATGATGGCAGGGTTGGTCAAAGGCCTTAGTATTTTTCAGGTGGTTTAGGAATAGGCCTTAGTATTTTTCAGGTGCTTTAAGAATAGTTCACAGTGGTGAGAAATCATGTTTGATTGTATTTACGATGAGCAGAAAGTAAGCTCGCGTGAAGCGAGAATTTCTATAATTTTTATGTAGGGCTGACCCAAGGGTAAGGCGACCCAAGCAAGGGATTTAGGCCTCAATTTTATTTATAGATGAAAGTTCTATCAGTTATACACTTTCCGTCATTCTTTCCTCCAAAATCGCTATATTCACGCTAAAAATATAAATCACGTCAATATTTAGATTTTCTTAATTAAGGCTATTCAAATAACCATTATTTAAAATAAATGACAAAATTAAATGCGAATGTGGAGAAAAGAATCTCAAAAATATTGTTTTAAAACCAAATCGAAAATGATGTTAAAATTGATGACGACTACATGTTCTGTTTCATAAAAAAAGGTTTATAAAAGGAATTTGTTTTGAAATAATAGTTATAAATTGATTTTAAAAAATTGAAAAAGTTGAATACTTTTTAAAAATCAATTTTGATTTGATTTTTAAAACTCATCCAAATTAAACCCTACCGCATTCATATATTTCAATATTTCTCGTTTATATTAGTATGGTATATATTTCAATAAATTAATATCTAATTTTTTAAGTATAATTTATTATATTAATTTATTTTTTTTATTATATTTGTTTCAAATATAATCTAGCGTTCTTATTTTATAATTTAAAATTTTAATATATTATATGTTATATATTACTCAATTTTATTATTTCATAGTATTTTAAAAATATTTACATAAAAATTATAATTTATAGTTTGTATATTTAAAAGTTGATTTTATACTTGTCAAAAAATGAATGATATATGACACATTTATGATGGCAGGGCTGGTCAAAGGGCCTTAGTATTTTTCAGTGGTTTAGGAATAGTTCACTATGATGAGAAACCATGTTTGATTGTATTTACAATGAACAGAAAGTAAGCTCGCGTGAGGCGAGAATTTCTATAACTTTTATGCAGGGCTGACTCAAGGCTAAAGCAATCCAAACAAGGGTTTTAGGCCTCAAAATTTTATTTAGAGATGAAAGATCTATCAGTTATACACTTCTCGTGTTTCTTTCCTCCAAAATCGCTATATTCACGCTGAAAATATAAATCACGTCAATATTTAAAATTTTTTAATTAAGACTATTCAAATAACCATTATTTAAAATAAATGACAAAATTAAATACAAATGTGGAGAAAAGAATCTCTAAAATATTGTTTTAAAATCAAATCAAAAATATTGTTAAAATTGTTGACCAGTACGTGTTCTGTTCCATCAAAAAAGGTTTATAAAAGGAACTTGTTTTGAAATAATAGTTATAAATTGATTTTAAAAAATTGAATAGTTTTTAAAAACCAATTTTGAGTTGATTTTTAAAACGCATCCAAATTAAACCCAATCTGCATTCATATATTTTAATATTTCTCATTTTTATTAGTATGATATATTTCAATAAGTTGATATCTAATTTTTTAAGTATAATTTATTAGATTAATTTATCTATTTATTTTTATTATTATATTTGTTTCAAATATAATCTAGCGTTCTTATTTTATAATTTAAAATTTTAATATATTATATGTTATATATCACTCAATTTTATTATTTCATAGTATTTTAAAAATATTTACATAAAAATTATAATTTATAGTTTGTATATTTAAAAGTTGATTTTATACTTGTCAAAAAGTGAATGATTTATGACACCTTTATGATGGCATGGCTGGTGGAAGGCCTTAGTATTTTTCAGGTGGTTTAGGAATAGTTCACAGTGGTGAGAAACCATGTTTGATTGTATTACATGAGCAGAAAGTAAGTTTGCGTGAAGCGAGAATTTCAATTACTTTTATGCAGGACTGACCCAAGGGTAAGGCGATCCAAGCAAGGGTTTTAGGCCTCAAAATTTTATTTATAGATGAAAGCTCTATCTGTTATACACTTCTCGTCTTTCTTTCCTTTAAAATCGCTATATTCACGCTGAAAATATAAATCACGTCAATATTTAGATTTTCTTAATTAAGACTATTCAAATAACCATTATTTAAAATAAATGACGAAATTAAATGCGAATGTGGAGAAAAGAATCTCGGAAATATTGTTTTTAAACCAAATCGAAAATAATGTTAAAATCCATGACCAGTACGTGTTCTGTTCCATAAAAAAATGGTTTTTAAATTTCATTTATTCCCTACGTGCATTAAACCACTTTAGATGACAACATTTTAATTATGAATTTAATTGATTGAAAAAAAAAATAGACTGTTTTATTTTTAGTTCTCCAAGACTAAAGATTTTAAATATCCATGACAAGAAAGTTTCTTCCATACCTATTTTGAATCATGAGTATTGTAATTTTGAAACGTCTTGGACATAAACATCCTGGGGCATTCATCAGAATGGTCGATCCTCCCTGACGCATTCATGTAAACAACCATAAAAATCAACCAGATACGGTAGAAACTCGCGTCTCTCCTCGGGGCATTCATCGTGCCCCGACCACAGACCCAAAATAAACGGCGAAAATAAAAGAAAAGAGGAAGGAAACTCACTTTATAAACGGCGAGGGACGAGATGTGAAGCTAACGGCGCGACGGCGATTCACGGCAACGGTGGACGGGGAAGAACTACAGAGCTTCGTAGGTGAAAAAGCAGGGTGAAAAGTAAAAAGTGCGCGGGGACCCCCCATATTTATAACCCGGCGCGGAACTCGAAGAGACACTAGGCCTTTGAGTGCCCTAGGGTAGCCGCCCTCACACCCACTCGACACGTTACACGTGGCAGTAAGCTGACAGTCGCGTCCCCTCAAATGCCTTTGCCCCGCGCACCCGGCGACATGAAGAGACCCTCGCGCACGCGCGCTTCGCCGAACACAAGCTGGCGGGGCCTCACGCCTCGCTATCTCCTTCCCCGAAGCAACGACCTCAAGTCCTCGCTCTCCCTCCGAAGAGCTTCGACTTAGGGGGCTCATGTTCTAGCCTGGGCCCGGCCTCACCTCGCGGCCCAGCCCAATGATACACAACCAAGGCCCAATATGATTTAAGTAGGCTGGCCGGGCACGCGACCCCTCGACGAGCAGGGTATGCTCCTGCCGTGCAGGACGCGTGCCTCGAGACGCCCTCGGCGCTCTCCCCTCGTCGCACAGAACAACCCCCGCGGGCAGAACCCCCATGCCAACGAGCAGGACGACATGTCTCCCCCACGCCCTCGTGTGCTCCCCTCCGCAGGGAGAACAACACACCTTCGGGGAACCTTGCGAGCTCCCCTCCGCGGGGAGAACAACGTGCCATACGCACGTTCTCAACGTGCTCCCCTCCGCGGGGACACGTCACCAGCCAACTGTCCACCTCCGAAAGAGTAGGTCAAACCCCCTTTCTGGAGACCACGGGACAGTTGGACTAGGGCGAAGACCACGTCCTGGTCTTCACTACGCCATGTAAGCCCTAGCTGTCACCTGGGTTGGGTCTGGCCATCCAACCCAACACAAGTGACCGTTGGCCCAACGCTGGGGTCTCTCTATAAATACCCTCTTCCACAAGAGGGTCAGGTAATTCACTTCTTACCCCATTTCTGTATTTGCTCTCACTCTGCCCAATTCCTTAATTTGGCATCGGAGTGTCTTGCAGGTACACCCCCTTCTCCTCCTCATCACTAGTGACCAGGCAGCATTCCAACAGAGTGTGGCCAGCTAGTGATCCCCTTCTGATCAGGTCAGATCAAGTTTGATAAACAGTACTGAGACGAGTTTGAATGATGAAAACACTAGTAGTCAAGTTTAATTATTATCTAAGGTCAATA